GTTAAAGTTCCGGAGTATTTGAGAGAAAGTCTACTATTTCTACATGACTGTATTTAATATCAATCAATTCCTCAAATAGCACATTGGCGAATAGCAATTCTACATAGAATGAAAAGCATACTCATGGTAATATCGTCACTCCTAATAAGCGATCGTAAACTATCTCCCAACCTTTTGATTGTCTGAACCACCGTTACATTTTAATTTTGTTACCATTCAGCCTCCTTTCCTTCCACAGTCTAGGAATTCAGTTACTCAATACGCCAACTCGTAGTTCACAGGTCAACAGTGAAAACCAAAATAGTTCATCAATATCTGTCTCTCTGTCACCCCATGTAAAACGTCTAGAAATGCAGATAAATACAAGAAGGCAATTGAACTTCTGAATTTACATGGAATGAGTGGTATTTTGATCATAATTAATATGTATTCTTCTTGGAAAGTGAGACTTTGAAATAGTGTATTCGAAGTCACCTTGCCTTCCTTTGGCATACTGTAAGCATATAACAGTCAAGAATACAGAGAATAAAAGCCGAAACTAAAAGGTACGGTGATTTCTCCAAAATCCAACTGCAGAACTTTGAAAAAGAACGCGAATGTTCTAAGCTTTAGACCACTCCAAATGAGCACTAATGATGACAAGAACTACGTATCAAATGATCAGTTTAGAAATAAAACTATCTTTGAATGTCAGTTTCCTGAAAACCCCTAGTCGGTTAGGTATTAGGCCAATATGTTTTAGTGATCAAGTGGTTCGAAACTAAGATTATAATCACTTATTATTTTTCAGAGTGAAATATAGGGCTTCAGCAGAACGTCTGCATTTCACTCTCTTCTCTTCTGTCTTTTCTAGCTGGCTCGACTGTTTTTCCGAAACCAGTTTCCTTCTTCAAGTGACCTGTTCCATGTGACCTTTGGACGCTTAACTCATTGCTCCTCTTTCGGGTTCCACTTGAAGACTTGATGTGTGATGTCAGTCAACGATCTTGGCGAAAGTATATTCAAACCATCTCCGCGTAAATTAGAGTAAAACGAAACAGTAGAGCACAAGGATCAGAATCATGAGCTGCGTCAGTACAGTGAATCGATGTTTCCAATAATCCTTTTCTTATAGGTTAAATAATCATGACGCTGATCAGCTGAAAAGCGTGACATGTTGACGAGAGTCAATAATCACCTTGTTCACTGATTCACATGTCTCTCTTATCTCAAACATCGTTGAAGCTCGAACCACCACATTCACTGGATAAATTACTTACTACTGGACTTCAGAAAGCTATTGTGGAAATTAAATGCTTCAATTCCAACCAGTTCAAATCGTACAGACCTCGAGTCATAGTTACCACCATATTTTGAAACAGAATCAGTAAACTGAGCTTAATTCCACTAAGCGCTACTGACTGCTACTATCTCCAAGAGATTTTCAGTGTTTACTGACTAAGTCTCTTCCAAGTGACTTCTGGAAAGTGAAGTAAGTGAAAGTTTCATTTCAAGCATGCTTCTATTTCAAGATGGATTATTTCCATGGGAACTTCATTTACTGCGACACTGTGAACGAATATCGGAAGGTGTTGTCTTACGTCTCTACACATTACGAAAATCTGCTGTTTACGAATCGGACGTTTCATCATTTTCCGTCACTATTATTGGTTTCAAGACGTTTTCCAGCTCTTTTCAGAGCTATCTTCACTCAACATCTCTACTTTTCCATAAAGCTCAATGCGCATACTTAAGCTACTTCTGTAGCTATCTTATATGCTGTTAGGAATCCATTCCTTTAACAACAAATTGTATTGACCCAAAATGCTAGTGAATCCAGAGACGATCTCTAGCTCTCGCGCTTCTCAGGTAACTACAGTTTTAAACTCATGCAGTACTGGACGCGCGGCTGCAGACATTTCCTCGGGAATCAGTGATGAATGTTGTCAAACGGTTGCGACAATATGATACAGCGCAATCAACACTGGATATGTGAAAATATTTTCAAATTACATGTAATTAACCGCACCAGTAATTCCATCAATCGTGCACAAATCGGCGAAATGAATATCCAGTTATTTCCGGTTCATTATGGATTTATTCCTTGTTTTCATTTGTTAATTCGGTGCATAGGCGTAAACTGATGCTCATAAAATTGTTAGTGTAAATTCTTCTTGCTTTGATTATGTATATATAATACTAACAGGATAAAACATATAATCCATTCAATTGTAGCTTTTGATATCACAGGCAACCAAATTTAGCATTTTTCGAGGATTTTGTATAATTTCAGTGAGAATACTCCAATGATTCTACATCAGTAAGAGAACCGATAGGATGCAGCAAGAACTTGACATGTGTTGTTTTTCACTCTGCGACTTCTCAGCACTGTGCGCCAGCGACCCCATCAGGGATTGAATAAAAGACATATGCATCATTCAGTGAACTCGTTGACCTTTCCTACCTTCGGATGGAGTGTAGTTACTCATGAAATGTAGCTGTCATTCAGTGATACGTCGATGTTGACAAACAGTGTCCTCAATAGATATCCAATTGACAGTCGATATTATGCACCCTACCAGTTAAAACTTCTCATCAGAACTCCAGAATATCCATCCTGCAGCCACTGAACAGTTTTAAACGATGACTCACCAGCTGTCCTCTCCTACTGGTTTTCAATGATTCTCTTCAAATGCTATCCTTTCACGACGAAACCTACCTTACAGTTGACCGATCTCCCCGAACCCCGGGAATTCTTACATCACCCGCCTGAACAGCAGTGGTTAGAGCCTTATTTTAAGAATTCAATAGGAAATGAGGTTAGTCTGACTAGGAGGTAAAATGGATGCTATAAAATAAGTGTGATGAATCTTCAGAACAAGTTTTGATGAAATAAATTCGTTCGAATGACTGATCTCAAGGTTTTAGTGGTTAATTAGGCTGAGTAAAGTAAATAAATATTCAGGTTAAAATATTCATATTCAAGTTTCTCCTACATCTTCTTTGTTTAAAATGATTCATTAGATATACTAGCTAGCGAAACACGGTTTTTGGAGTTTTAAGTTACTTTGACGGCGATATCATGCATGTATGATTGGATTGAAGTGTTTATTTTAGTCGCTGAATGCCTTTGTATTAATCAGGGATCCATTCGAATCTACTGGAAAATATAGGCAAATCGATGAGCACTTGGAATAAATCTTCGGAGATTTCGGTGGTTCATTTGAACTACAAGGCTTTCAGGTAAAGCTAACGAAATAAATCAACGTGTTTTTCAGCAGAAGTAATACTTTCTAACTTTTCGTGCAATATTTTGCCTGTTGAATGCAGAGGTGAATGTGTTCAAACAGAGTCAGTGTAATTTCTAACATTATAAATCCAGGAGCCTCACAATATATGCAGACGATTGAGGATCCAGCCACACAACTCAGCTAACACAGACTGTTATTGTAAATTCTAATGAATAGAAACCAGAGTAATAAAACTGAGTGTCATATATGCACCACTAAATTTACATCAGAGTGCATAAAAATTTTGCATGTGGCCCACGTAAATGATTCGTATTGAACTGAACAGCTAGTAACCGTTTTGCAGTCATTCAAATCTAGTATAATTACAGGTAATGAAAATAAAGAGGGTTTTTCAAATGTTCATATTTAATCAAAAACTGTGGAATCGGAAGTATGAGAAATATGCGAAAATTGACTAATTGGAACGTGACTCCTGAAGTAACTACCCATCTTGTGACTTTAACAAAAGTTTAGGGTTGTTGTGATAGTCGTGCGGTAGAGTAGAATTTCATGATAGGACAAATTTATTCGGCAGAAGAACACAATGATACGGTGTTATTTGCTGATGATGTCGAAGGTTAACAATACTGTAGTCATTGTGTCCTTCTATCAAATAAGTTTATTCTCTAAATGCTGTGACATCAATTTTACAGATTATATGGTGATAAAACTAAACGCTTCCATACACACAATCAAAGCATTTTAAAGTCAATGCACACTGTGTCTGTCAACTGAATTGAGTGTTTACACGATTGACAAGGTAAAATAATCTATTATTCTTGAATTTTCATTTCACCTCTACGGATAACCAAAAGCTTGTTGACCTTTTACAAAAATGACTTCAAAGTACAGTGAAAGTTTCCCCTCGAAGCAGTGCGAATCCGAAATCGTGAATTACTATACATATTGTGAATAGTCAATCATGTTTAAAGAATATTTGTGCAGATCAGAAATTTCAAGAGAGTCTGTTAATAAAGCGCACTATCTTATGAGCCAATCACTAATTACATCGAATCCGTACTTTATTAAATATCCTTCCTTTATTGCCTTTGAATAAGTGAGACAATACGCTGAAATAAGCAGCCAATTCAACTATCAAATTATCTAATTGCTAGATATTTTCAAAATGTTGTGGTTTTTAGAAATAACCGCGTGAATGCTCATGGGATTCTGTCATCATGAGACAATCGAAACAAAGTAGCATCTCTTGAAGACCTTTTCAATTTCAAGCATTCTGTTCTGTAATTCTTTCTGTCTGTGCGGTTATCCTTTACATATTGACCAATTAACTGATCAAAGCGACAGCATAGCACTTAAGAATCCTTCAGTGTGGCTTATTTAATGTAAAAGAGCATACTTGTTATGATAGATTTGTAGTTTTACTCATTATTTTGGTTAACTTCATACTCACTCACATAATGGTTTATGTCAGGAGATACAGACACAGAAAGTACAAACACATTTGTTGATTTAATTATATGCAGTTTAGAATTATAACATGCATGTTAATATATTGTCTTTTTAAACACTATTCCTATTCGTTGAAATGTAAAACTGCCTTTGAGTGAGACGTTTTTCTTCATTTTGTGTGTCTGTGAGTGTTGACAGCACAGATAACTAATTGATTGCCTGATAAATGGCTGTCTTTTGCGAGACTCTCTGAGAAATGTGGTAAATGTTCGATAACATTATTCCACTCTATGCATTGTGACAATTCATTGACGCATTTAAATGGAATATGAGTTAAGTGGAAAGTAAGTTGTAATGATTATGTTAACACTTCATGCATAATGTTAACTGAATTTCTTTATATCACTTATCTGCATATAGTTGATAAACTAATACTGTTCATGCGGTTATCCTTGTGTAAATGTTGAAGTACTTTTGATCATAAACTAAAATAATTTCAGTAGGATCACAAAGCCACACAGTTGGATAACTACCGAAGACTAAGAGACTCCGAATAGTTGGATTATTGAATACTGCAAGATGAACTGGAAATAGCACTTCAGTTCCCCTTCTTTCATGATACTTTCCCGTTCTAAGTTGAAGCGTAATAAAGTTTAATTAGGCAATCAGACTATTCTCGCCAGACGTTTCAACTAAACTGTGCTAATAAACAGGCGCATTAAACACCTGTTTCTCGCTATATAGCCTTCTGGTACTCGATAAATAGTGACCTGGCGCTTGTGATTCTTAGCACCTATGGTACATCGAGATTAAGGATATGTGAGTTGTGCGGTAATCCAAAAGTTTACCTTCGTTACTTCGGCTGATAAGTCTAGTGTGACATTATCTCAAAGGTACCAGTAATACACATGTTGTTTCTATCTTTGAAAAATTCAGTAGTCTGAAAACTTTAGGATAGTACATTGAAAATATGCTACCATGGGGAGAGAATGCCTACTTAATGGAATGAATCGTTCTATATTTCTGAAGGAGAAACCTTTTAATTACGGGAATCATCCACACTGGTGAAGTATTTCACTGTTGAGAAATCACTACTTCGAATATCTTGTCTTTTCTCACTGTAATTTACTGATGTGTAGACCAATTAACATTAGATTAACGTGTTTTGCCCAGAAAGGTAGGAGTCTATCAAATAACACTTACAATTACGAATTACACGACATGTCTTCCTTTGTGCTTTTACGCAATATCTCACCAGTGAACAGCTTCAATCTGCGTACACGCTTTACAGCTTACCAATGCAGTTTCTCGAATTAAGGAGTATACTGTCTGTAGACTTGGACGAGATCTCAAAGATATTGGTTGATTATTCACCAGTTGTTTTATTTTCGGAAGGTTGTTTCTTTTATTCCTACTTAACACAATTAGTATGATAAAAATTCCTATATTTGTCGTTTTCACAAACAACCAAGTCAACCCACCTGTCTAATACCTTTCCTACTGTTTTGTAACATGGCCAACAGGGACATCTCCTCGGAATGCTATCATATCACAGAATGCATGGTTTTTCTTATTTCCTTCACGTTCCCAGTGGAACACAGTGCTTCAAGCTGGAGGCTTGAAGTTTCTGTAACAGTGTTTTTTTAATTTTTTAATTTGATTACAGCTTGATGAGGTTGCTAGCCTCATGCCCAACCTTCCCTCTTAACCAGTCTCAATACTGGTTTAGCGAGGCAAAGGAGTGCATCGGCCGGGGATCGGACCCCGGACCATGTGAATGGTCGGCAAGCGTCCTAACCGCTATGCCACCTACGCACGGAATGCACAGCGACATAAAATATTTTTAAAATAAGTAATTAGCTAACTCAATCCTGCAGTTAACTTAAGTCCGAAATTACCCAGTGAGTTATGTAGAAAATAAAAGACAGTTCAGCGAAGAAAGTTGATATTCATATTTACCAAAAACACACAGTTGTCTATTATTGAGTATCAAGAGGTACTACAAGTGACACAGTCGCGGAGAAGTGGCTTCCAAAACAAAATTAAAAAGTACAGTATGGTCAACAATACAATGGAAAAGAGGGTCTGAAATTTGGTACGTTTAAAGTTGTTATTGAACGAAAAGTAAGGCGACTGAGTGTCACTTGATAAGTGTGAAGGCAGGGATAAAATTTACAAAAGTAAGGTGCAAGAATGAGAATGGTGAGTTAATTAGTAAAAATGAAAGCGAACAATTAGGAAGAGGTTGAGACCATGGTTGAATGAGAGTCTGAACAAACCTTCTCCGTACACAGAATTGGAGGTTTTATTGACCATCTCCTCCACCATACAAAAGTGCAGAAACCTAACAACTCTTGCACGTCTCAGTCTCATTTTGAGAATAATCTGAGAAAACGACTCTGGCGGAACTGCCTGGCTTGAGTCCAACTGGTGTCAGAGAGTTGAGTTAGTAATTGTCTCTCACTGTCCGCTCGCTGACCATACTGGATAATGTTCAGGATGAGTTTGGAAAGTGTGCACTTTGTGCGGCCGACATAACAAGCTCCATATGAGCAAATGAATTTATAAGCACACCCTGCATTAGCCCAAAACGGCAGTGTTTTCCTCACACATTCACTGACCATTTGTCTACTGTAGAAATTGATCCGTCGCTCAGCTAGAAAGGAAGCTTTTCTCAGCAATCTGGACAAGAGGCTCTTCAAAATCTCAGCTGAGGTATCACGTTTAAAATCAACACGCATAAAAAGCTGTTTCTTCGGCACCGTTTGCGTTCTTTCATGCTACCACTTAACTTTCATGGTTTTCTCGATAAATCGTCCAGGATATCCACTTCTAATGGGGATGTGTCTGAGTCTGTCTAGTTCATTGCTGACTGAATCACTAGTGCATATCCTTCTCACGTTTATGGTGAATAAAGGTGTGATTGAACATCCTCTTAAAATGATTTCATGGACAAAGAAACTTTTCTTCACAGAATTGTCGTTTACTAATTTAAGTCTGTGATTTTATTATTCAGGGTAGTAGCCTTCCGTGACTGTTCAACTATCTAGTTAGTGGTTTTCAGATTGTAGCTGACCTTCGTAATGTTAACAACTCCAGTATATCATATTAGTCATTATGAGAAACATGTCTGATAGTATTTATTCATACTTCAATTCGTGGCCATAACTTCGCACCTAAAATATTTCACATTCATTGAATCAGAAGTATTAATCAGTGTAATAGAAAATTACATAGTTAATCAATCTCTTGTGTTTACCAAAACACCAAGCATATACATGCTAAGTGAGAAAAAGCATAATAAATGATTGAAGGAAACGTGTTAAAAATAGTCTTGCACAAATATTGATTTTTGACTTTTTGTGAGAAATTATACTATGTCTAATTTGTTTGCACTAAGAAAATCTCTATTTAGTGTTGAGAAATGCATTTCTTGTTAGATCGATATTCCATTTCTTAATTACGCAATCGGTTGGAACAGTCTCCAAGATTTAAACTGTGTAACAAAATAAGAAAAAACCCAGCACATCTAAAATATGTGGATTCTTAATTCCCTTTGTAATCGTGGAGTGAATTATGATGGTGAATTGAAGAATTCCATTTAACTTACAGTGTGAATTATCTCTGTTTATCGAGGAACATCAGACAATTACGACAATGATGTTGTGTATCAGAAGATGGAGTCACATATTTCAGAGAAGGCGAATGTCGACTCTTCTCATGCTATAAAGACTAAAGATAGATTGTGTAACTCTGCTAGGTGCGAACTGATGCGGACAGAGAGCTTTCATGACATAACTTATCAAGTAGTAACTCTTAGTCTCCTTGGCCGCGGTCTTTGATTTACAATAGTGTGTTTGAGGATAAAAATGTATACGACTTTAATACTACGAGTTATGTGTGCATTTATAATGAAGATAGGCACTGAGTTATACGCCGGTTCTTCTTGTTGAGTAACTTCAAAATCCAAGGACAGATAAATTATTACTACCCTGTTAATTTATTTAGGCAAAATGAGTTTGGCTTATCTACTCATGATCTGGGGTCGACCCCTGATTGGGTCAGGGGTGGGTACTGATAGAGAGTCCTAAACAAGGACGAAACAGCTGTCCAGTACTCTCTGGTTTTCAGTGGTTCTTTAAGTGTAGCCATTTCGTGACCAATCTTCAATACTTCTATTGTGTTTTGATTTTCATATTAATGTGACTCATTCACGAGTATTTTACATCCCTTTTTATTGATAATACATCAAACCGTTTTCAGTTTGATTAAAAACTAATATTGAACATCTCATCTCATTCCATAGTGTGTGTGAGGATTGTGTTACCCTTCGCTCTCTTATTTCCGTTTTGTACATATTGAAAGAAATGAATTTTACGTCGCTGTTTCTTTTAAGTCCATTTGATAGAAAATACAGTGTATTTACTTCTGAAAACTTAGATTCATATATCTCGTATATAACTGTACAAAGGTGAGTAGTTTAATGAATAAAATAATTTACTGTTCTTAGGGCCCTATGTCAAAAACCCAGAAATGATTATGTTCAAACAATCAAAGTTACCTCGTTTTTCAACCTACGCCTTGGTGTTTAGGAGTAATAATAATAATAATGATAATAATCTACTTTATTCCAAAACAGTACTAATGGTACTGTGTGAAATTTTCAGCATTTGGTACAATATTGCACGTAATTTTAACAAACAACACTGAAAACAACCATAAAAATAATGTTTGAGGGTTGTTAATGGCAGTTCTTAGATAGTATTTCCAGTGACAGTACAAACATAAACACACAAAAACTGTAAAATACCTGTAAATAGTAATTCTGGTGGCTAAGATTGTCAGTTAATCGAGGTAGTGTCACCATGGATTGCGTCGGTGGCACAGTGGTTAGGACTCTCACCGACCATGCACATGGTCCGGGGTTCGAGCCTACACCGGTGCACACCTGATATCTATGGTCGGCCTGAGAAATTTGGGCTACCGATATCCATGCTGAAAATTCCATACTTGTACCAAAAATACTGTGTGGAATCAAGCTGTAATCAAAAATAAGTTAAAAAATAAATAAATAGGAGATAATAAAAGAGCTGATTATTCTGATGACAACATAGTAATTCATAAGTTTCCCGCTTAACACTGTTTCTATCGCATAGAACAAGGGCCAAATATAGTATCGATGACTTCCTATATTTGACTGTATGAGCATATAATATTTTGTACTGACTTCTAGTTCTACCAGATGAGATACAAAGGTAGAGTTGGGAATAGAGGGAGTGTTGGAGATCAGACAGTATGGATTTAGACTACTTCTCGAAAGAATTCAGATGTGTATCAACTAATA